CTCCCTGCCCCGAACCCACGGACGCCCTGCGGCCGAGTTTCACAACAGCCTCCCACCCCGCGGAGCCCGCCCTTCCTCCAACAGATGGAGGCCCGGGATACCGAAATCTTAACACGGAGTTCCGACTTCTCTGCTCGGGAGGGGACGGACGCGAAGCCGGGACCCAGGTCGGCCCGGGCCGCTCCCGAGGCAAGCCCCTCCCGCTGGGACTCACGGGCACCGGGGCTTTCGAGCGACACGAAGGGCTCGGACCTGGCGCCCTCTCCGCGCCCGCCCGCGGGGCCTTCCTCGGTCGGACCTCCGCCCCCTCCCGGAAACAAGCTCCAGAACTGAGGGACGCCAGCGTCCCTAGGCCCCGACTCACCAGGACCCCACAACTTCCCTGCCCCGAACTTGGCCTGCCCCAGCGCGTGGGGAGCGTCCCAGGCGCTCGAGTCGTATAACTTCGTATAATGTATGCTATACGAAGTTATTACGTGCGGCATTTCTCTTTCTGTGACTGGCTTTTTTTCAGTTAACTTAGTTTTCTCTACATTCATCCATGTTGCTGTGAATGGCAGTATTTCATTGTTTTTAATGGTAAATTAGTAGACCACTGTATATATATGTATCACATTTTCCTTATCCAGTCATCCAATGATGGACATTTAGGTTGTATCCAACTCTTTGCTATTGTAAATAGAGCTGCAATAAACACGGGAGTACAGATGTCCCTTCAACACGATGATTTCCATTCCTTTGGGTATATACCCAGCAGTGGGATTGTTGGGTCATATGGCAATTCCATCTGTAGTTGTTTGAGGAAATTCCATACCATTTTCCATAATGGCTGGACCAGTATGTGTGGGAGGGGTCCCCTTTCCCCCAATCACCCCCACTCGTCTTAACAACCCAAGTTTTCCCGGGCCCCCAACTTCAAGAGGCGGCTGGGAAAGCAGCTGTTACCACACTGGGCCCTTCCCTGATCCCAGTGGCAACTACAAGGGTTGATACCCGACTCCACCCACACCCTCGGCCCCTCCAGTCCACACATCGCCAGGCGTCTCTCTTCCCATTCCCTTAGCCCTGAACCTCGTGGAGTGGGGTGTGGGGTGAAGACCCCAGCCCGGGTAGAGCATTCACCATACCCAAGGCCAAGGATCTGGGAGCCAGTACCTCCACGCCCACCCCCAACCCCAGGGAGGCTGCTGAGTCTGAGCTGGGGACAACAGAGGAGTAGGGGTGCAGGGATGCAAGAACAGGAACCAGGGTGCCAAAAGGGAAGTAAGAGAGGAAACACCTGCTGAAAGCTGGCAAAGTCAGCTGTTGTTTCGGGTTTTTTTCCTTTGGAGGTGGGGGATGAGAGCTGTTAGTTCTGAGAAAAAAAAGCAGAGACACATAGACCTGACAGCTGGATAGGACCACCAGACCTGAGGAGGGAAAGAATCAGTCACAGGCTTTTGTGGTAGCCCTGTGAAATATTACGGGGGAGCACCCTGGAAAAGCCTGGATGTCTGTATCTTTTTGGTATTTTAGAGGGGAAGAGGGTAAGAAACCTGAAGAAGAGGCAGGGGAAGAGATTCAAGACCCAGGCCGACCAAAGGAGGGAAAGTTCAGTAACAACATTTGTGACCTGAGCCAGGAGCGAAGTCTGAGAGAGGAAGAGGAAAGACACAGACCAGGGGTTGCAGGGCCTAGCTGGGGAGTCAGCATCAGCTCTAGAGCAGACAGCAAGTTTCCCTAGGCACCCAGGTCCCAGCCTGGATTCCAAGACAGGCCTCTCTTACGTTAGATGAGCCATTATGGAACTCACAGAGGTGCCCACTCACTTCTCCATCACCAGCCCTGCTCCCTCCCACCAACACCTTCCCTACCTGACTCCACAGACGCCTCATCTCCCACCACCCATCCCTCTCACCATCTGACCCTAAGAAGTGAATGAGAGTGGGGAGCTGAAAACTACTGGCTGCTCAGTAGATGACTTTCCTGGCTCCCACCCCCCATCCCTCTCACCATCTAAGAAGTGAATGAGAGTGGGGAGCTGAAAACTACTGGCTGCTCAGTAGATGACTTTCCTGAGAAGACCTGCTGCCATGTGATCAGGACACAGACTTACATCAGCCCCCCTCCCCCCAACCCATACCCGTGTTCCAGAACACAGAGTAGCCCGGAAATCTGTGGTACATGGCTACTGGCTGATTCTGCTTACTAACTTATTTGTATATGAAACCAGGAACTGTGCAGAGTTCTAGAGAAACAAAAGGTGGGGCATGCCCTAAGGCCCTGCATGGAGATGAGGAGCTAAAACAAAATTGCCAAGGAGCCACCAGAAAGAGGCCCCCACCTGCCAGTCCCCTCCCTCGACCACTCCTTTAACCTTGCAGCTCTGCAGAGTGTGCATTATCACACCATTCTACAGATGAGGAGTATGAGACTCAGAGTAAGTTCCAATTTGTTGGAGGTCACAAGACCTAGTGAGGGACATGGCCAGGTTTTAGACCCAGGCAGTCCTGCCTCCAAACCTCCCTCACCGCCTCCCCTCCTGCATCCTTGAGCGCTACTGCTCTCTGAGATGGCTTCATGCCCACCATTACAGGGGTACAGTGGGGCAGCAGGGAAATCTTGGTAGAAGCAAATGGAGCCACATCCTGAAGGAGTAGAGTGAGAGAAGAGCTGACACTTCAGTGAAGTTGGACAGTGTATAGATGTGTGTATGTGTGCCCCCAAGGTCTCTGCTTTAGCTGACTGCATGTACTGTGGCAGGAAACTCGAGCCCATACTTATGTGCCATCAGAGGCCAGTATCTCTGCACCTCTGCCCTCTCTCTATGCTTTCCTTATGAAGGGCATGGGGTCCTGCACACTCACACAGTGTCCAGACATGAAGGAAAACTAAAAAATTTCCTAAAAGTGTAAAAAGTTTGGAAACGCTGTTGTAGATCCAAAATATAAGGGCTAAGATCACCTTCCAGGAGAAAGGACAGACATAGTGGGGTGCTGAGAAATAGGGGAAGACCGAGCAGCCCGTGAGATGTCAGATTCCCACCTCTAACTGTAATACTTCTCCATCTAAGGCAGTTTAATGGGAAACAGGATGGGGCACTGTTTTTTCACCATAACTTGTATCTTATCTTTATAGTCCTCTGTTTAAATTCCAAGGTTCACAGGAAGACGTATGAGTAGAAATTCCCCAACTGCAACAGAACTATCCCAAAAAGAAAGGGGTTGGTTCGAGATGGGATGAATTCTTGAATGAAAGCAAGAGAAAACGTTTGGTCTGAGAGGCAGGAAGTCAGGGTAATGAGTGACAAACTGACCTGGAAATAGAAGCCCTGGGAAGGGCTGAATGGAGAAGGAGAGAAACCGGGAGCCAAGTGCCTGGATTCTGGAGATGAGCCTTTAATTCCTGTGCCTAAGCAAAGACTAGCACCAGGAATTTGCAGGGTGAAGCCAGGGAAAGTGAAACATTCACCCTGAGATCCACACCTTGTAAAGTAGCACCTGGCATCAAAGGGGCTAACCCAGGCTTTAGACCAGAGAAATAATAGCTCAGGGCCAGCGACTGCACCCAGGCCTGCCTGCCCAGCCCTCAGGCTACTGGGAATTCGAACTCCTATGGCAAGAAAAGAAGAGAAAAAAGAAAAATTCAGCAAAAAAGTAAGGCATAAGTATCGCATTTTCAGTCTGCAAATGAGTCATTATCACCAGTTCCTAATGAATGTGAGGCCTAGGCTCAGCTAGTGAGAAGCAAAGAGATACTAGCAGCCAAGCTTCCTGCCTCTTGCCAAGGCCACCATACCCTACTGTCTCAAAATTCCCAACACTATGCTTTACCTCTCTTTTGTGCTCTTTGTTGTCACTGGGAAAAGCAGACATCTTGGCAAAGGTAAAGTTGAAGGAAGCAGCAGGCAGGAGGTGAAAAGATAACTATGAACTGGTCTGCTTAAGGGGGAACAAAGCCTATGAAAATATAAAAGGCAAAGAAATGTTTGAAAAAAACCTGTCATCTTAAAGAGCAAGAGACAAGACTGGGAGATAGCTCAGGGAGGAAAGGCCCAGCACTCTAAGAAATGCAGTTCCATCTCTTAACCACACACACTTGGTCCTTGAGACTTGAACTCCCCCCACCCCCTTTAATCTTCTACCTCAAAGAGGCTCACTGACAAGCTCATTGAGAGCCATAAGGGCCAATGCAATATCTGGTAGAATCCTTAAATTTAAGTTCTCCTTGGATCTGTTCACCTTTTCTACAAGTTGACAATCCCAGGTATTGTTTAACAGCAACAGGATGAGACCAATTCAGGGCAGGCTTTTTTTTTTTTTTTTAACAAATGATTGGTAAAGGGATCTTAACCCTTGACTTGGTGTTGTCAGCACCACACTATCCAAGTGAGCAACCGGCCATCCCTATATAGGGATCCGAGTTTTTTTTTGTTTGTTTGTTTGTTTTTTTAAAGATGACCGGTAAGGGGATCTTAACCCTTGACTTGGTGCTGTCGGCACCATGCTCACCCAGTGAGCTAATCGGCCATCCCTATATGGGATCTGAACCCATGGCCTTGGTGTTTTCAGCA